GATAATCGCCATGGGTGAGACGGCGATGGATGACGTAACCATTCGGAACTGGACGCGGAAATCTCTCGCCGCCGCACTTCTAGAAGACTCACATCCACCACGAAACTCACCACTGCATCGCGCATCCTAATCATCGTACCATACACCTCCTAATATCTCAACAATGCGATCTATACGTTCATCTGCAGCGCGCAGAATCCGCGCATCCCTCACAGAAACCACCACCACCTCGCCATTCCGCACGCGACCAAGCGCAACACCGTGCATGCTCTGCGCACATCGCATACCGCCCCAGACGATATCACGTCGATTTCAATCCTCCTCTTCCAGCTCGAATAAAGTCGAAAAGCCATTCGAGACACCACAATCCTCCACCGCGCAATCGTCCCAAGTTCCACAAACACACTACTCCTTCTTCCCCAACTCCTTGCCATCCGGCCCGCCGCCAAACGGCCCCTTCGCCATCGACCTCTCCGCTCTCAAGAAGGAATTCCTTCAACTACAAGCCCGCGCCCACCCCGATCTACATCCCCAAGCCGACAAGAAACGCGCCGAAGCCCTCTCCTCACGCATCAACGAGGCCTACAAAACACTCCAGAACCCGCTTCTAAGAGCACAATATCTGCTATCCTTACGCGGAATAGAGGTAGCGGAAGATGAGACAGCGAAGGTAGAAGACCCGGAGCTGTTGATGGAGGTGTTGGACGCCAGAGAGAGCATAGAAGAGGCAGAAAGCGAAGAAGATTTGGTGGAGATGCGGGAGCGGAATGAAGAGAGGATAGCAGAGAGTACGGAGATAATTGACAAGGCGTTTAAGAGGGATGATTTAGAGGCTGCGAAGAGCGAGGCGGTTAAGTTGAGGTATTGGGTCAATATCAAAGAGAGCATTGAGAATTGGGAGAAGGGGGCGCCGGTTGTGCTGCAGCATTAGATGGTGTGGTGGAAGATTGAAAGGTTCTTGTACGATACTACGACTCGAGATGCCGAAGAAATGCAGCCATCGATCATCTTCTCTTCACCAACAGCTACAACAGCGCCATGGTCGCAATTCGTCTACTCTAAACAGGAACAGTGATAGGGTTCATAACCCCTGCCCCGCCGTCAACCCTCAACTCAGCGCCCGTAATATAGCTACTAAACCCACTCGCCAGGAACCCCACCGTCCTACCCACCTCCTCCGGCCTACCCGCCCTCTCCAGCCCAATCGTCCTCTTCTGACTCTCCTCTCCCTGTAACGCAGCAGGCGGAAACTGACCCTGCGCCATCTCTTTAACCCCACAGTCCTTCAGATCAACACCCACATCAATCTGCCCAGCCGTGATGGCATTAATACGCACACCCGTCCCCTTCAGCACCAAAACCCCAGAGCGCACAACACCAAGCGCAGCATGTGACGCCATAGTAAAAGCCGGAGCCCAGCACCCACCATACGTCCCCGCCACACTAGTCACAACAATAATACTCCCATACGGAACATCCTTCGGCGCAGCATTCGGATAACTCCCCTTGGGCGTCGTCTTCTGCATAGCAGCCGGCGCGTACTTGAGCGCGAAGAAAGCCGGCATGGCGTTCGTGTCAAACGCGGCGTACAGATCTTTCGGACCTGTTTGGTTGATGGACGGCGGGCCGAGTAGACCGGTCGAAGATGTCCAGACATCGAGGCGGCCCCAGGAGTTCAGCACGTCGTCGATGAGGGCGAGGGTGTCTTCTTCGGAGTTGATCTTGTAGGGGTAGCCGATTACTTTTGTGTTGGGGTATTGTGCGTTTATTGAGTCGGCGAGTTCGGCGTAGGGTTCGGAGGGGAGCGAGGAGCAGGCGTATATGCATGCTGCGCCGTGGGCTGGGAGGAGTGTTAGCAAGTGGTTGTGGGTGCGGTTGAGGGGTTGTGATGTACCGGCGAGTTCAGCGACGATTGCTTTTCCTACGAGTTGTGTTGCGCCTGTTACTACGCATACGAAGCCGTACTATATCATATCGCAATGTTAGCCACTCCATTTTATGCTTTGTTTCGCGAGGTTTTCTGGGTCTTCCGTTCCGTTTCTCGCAATGTTATTAACTTACCAATTTCCCATCTGCTCTATACGGCGAGAAGTGCTCCGAATCAGTGATACCAGCCTCCCTAACGCCAGTTCCGTTCGTGTTGTTGGCCATGGTTACAGATATCCACCGGTCTTCGGAATTAGGAAGTCGCAACGAATAAAGGACAACGTGAAAAAGAAGACACGCGCAACAGCGCGTCTATAGGACATCACATCATTGTCAATTATTGATTGACAGCTGCTTGCTTGGGCAGGAGGTATTATGTCAGTGTACATATCCACGGGGCGCGGAGATGCGGAACAGGCGTACGATTGCTGGGAGGGATGCCAGCTTATCGGCAGCTTATCGGGCTGCATGGTGGCTTCCGCGGGGCTCTCGTGGGGCAGGAGAAAGCCAGGGTAGCTTCCTTTACGAACAGCTCCAATGAGTATACACATGATAGGGATGCAAATGTGAGGAAGATTTTAATATGTGCATTTGTGAGCTTTGAAGCTCTGTTGTATAGCATTCACCACCTGGTTCTGACAGCCAGTCCCATCATACTCGTACACCTCCCACCAACGCCCTTCAAGATGCTCAAACCCCTGGTATCTGCCTCACAACGCCGCCAATGCCTGCTTCCCATGACACACTCTATGCCGTCTTCGCTTTATCATCTTCCTGGTTCTGCCTCAGCTTTTCCCTCGGTGGCAGCACGTCGGGCCCAAAGCTGAGCGGAAGCAGCTCGCCCATCGTCCTCACAATCCACTTTCCTTCCTTGTTGAACATGAAGATAGGTGTCTCTAGTGCCAGAAATTCGCGCAGAAATTGTCTGCACATTCCGCACGGCGAGCAGAAGTCGTCGATGTCGGTCGTAACGCCAACAGCCTTGAAGCTTCCGATGCGGTGGCCTGCGATGACAGCGGTACCCATGGCGACACGCTCAGCGCATGTTCCAACGGGGTAGGCCGCGTTTTCTACGTTTGCGCCGATTATGGTGTGCGCGGCGGATGTATCGGTTGCGGAGGAAGTGGTCAGGAGGAGGGATGCGCCGACGCGAAAGAGGGAGTATGGGCCTAATCAAACATTATGTTAGCACCAATCTTTTGTTTAGGTATCTTCAATACCCTCTACCACCATGCGCTGCATCATAAAACTCCAGAAAACATACAATAAGCCCTCGCCCTCGCATCAAAGCACTGCTCGCCCAAAACCTGCAGCTCCTGCGCCGAAACGCCATGGATCAACCCATCTTTCTCGGTCACAGCTTCACCAGGGCTGAACTTTGGTACGGCGGTTGTTGACATGGTGGGAAAAGGAAAGGAAGGAAGAGAAGAGTGCGACGCGACGCGGGGATCATTTGGGGAAACTGGATGACGCCAGCCGAGGTTTGCCAGTGGGGCGCTGAGCTATGGCGACAAAGGAAGGTTCGGCCACCTCCGATGCATTGCGGAAGATACAACGTCGTTCAGACTACTGGTTGTTGTCAGATAACAGTTCTGCTAGCGTATGGGTACAGTTCTTATGGTGCTGCTGATGATAGCAAACCTCGTGTTGCGGCCCTGCCCTGGCCCGTACTCAGGACGCTGCAGTTGTCTCCTCGAGCTCGGTCGGCTCGTGCCTCACAAACGAATACAACACGCCCCGCATACATGCTGAGCGACAAGACATCAAACCAAACAGCATACCTAGATCTGAACACTCAGTCATGGCTAAAGACAACAGGACTAATACTTCCGAATGCGTCCCAGGACCGGTTTTGACCAATCCACTTTCTTTGTCTCATTCTCTTTGTTAACCCATCTCGGAGAGCAAAGCTACATTCATGCCAACACCAACATACAAACATTTCAAGAAAAGCATTTCATCCTCAATTTATCCGGGTACGCCACCTAGAATTCGCATCCTTTACCCAACCTACGCGTGGTCGCTTTTCCAGTCGCGACTCTACCTATTATCAAGCTCTACTTCCGGCCCTTGGTTCTCGTGAACCAGGCATCTTCTTCTTTTCTCTTTGCTTCCTCGGCTTCTTTCTTCTGATCTTGTCGCTCCTTGTATTCTCTTCGGTCTGCAGCGTCAGCTACTCCCTCGCAAGCCTGGCACCCACCGCTTGCATAGTAGTCAATTCCGTGCGCCTCACATCGCAACAGGTGCTTTCTGCACCAGCCAGTCTGTCCACACCAGCAGTGGTGTGTTACCTTGGATCCATATTTTCGTGCCATAGTAAGAGTTGAAAAGGGTCGGGAAGTCTGTTCGGTTGACTGTTGGTGTGAATTGATACGTGTGTTATACTCGACTGATTAGAGAGTTCTCAGCGTATTTTAAGTACTCTTGGGACAGGCCATTGGGCGTTAAGGTGAAAAGCAGTGTAACCACTGCTTTTCTCTAGCCCTCGTTCTTCATCTTGCTGCTTCATTCGCACACGGAAACCTTTCGGGTCGGATTGAGTCCCACACTCTCTTTGTGAAAGTCGCCCTCCGGCACTGTTACATTTCACACAACGCTCTCAGGACCTCTTATAACGTTGAACACCGCTGTTCCTTTATTGGAGTTTGCCAATCAGACTCCACCACTCCATAGGTCTGGAAATATGTCCGATACGAAGATGTCACCCAGCGCTACGCCTTTGGAACAGACGGAGCCCGCGCGAGATACTGGGAATGACTCGGCTTCTATCGCGAGTTCCGACGTTTCGACTAACTCTACTGAAATGTTCGAACATGAGCCCTTCGAAACTTTCCAGGTCAAGGTAGTTGAGCTATGTCAAAAGGAGTGGCCGAATCTCTCTAAAGACTCCTTTACCATCACACGTATGGATGGTGGCTCTTACAACCGCGTGATCAACATCCAGGTCGACGGTTCTCAATATCAAGCTAGCTGGCTTGAGCGGCAGATACGCTGGTTTCTTCGAACGTTTTGTCCCGGTATGTTACGCAAGACGGAGCTCAGAGACTATGTGCTGCGCATACCGCGTATGGAGCATGCGTGGGTTGAGCACGAAGTTTCGATTCTTAAGTTTCTTGCAGCGACAAGCATTCCAGTACCCAGGATCAAGACTTTCAGTTTCTCGACTGAGAACCCAATTGGTAGCCGATACACGATCCAGCCACGTGTTCCGGGGAAGTCAGTAATTGACGTCTATTCTGAGCTCAACACGCAGCAGCGCATCTCCTTCGCGCGAGATCTAGGCTCTGCACTAAAGGAGATGAGCAGGATCCAGTCGCCATCTCCTGGCACATTGAACCCAGACAGCATTCTCGCTGGATCATCAGAACCGCAGCTCCTGCGTTTACAATGCCCACCACGAAATGCGTTTCGCCAAACCAATGAGCCCTTTGTGGCAGCTACCCCTCAAACTGTCCAAGAGTTCCTCTTGTCACAATTCGCTCGTCAACGCGCATTCGACCTAACCCTCAATCGTAAATTTCTGAACCCTTGGAAGCCATTTACAGCCATCATTCAGCATCTACACACGCTCGGCTTCCTCAACGACAACATCTACGCACTCACACACATGGATCTCGAGCCACGCAACATGCTCATCCACATTACCTCTCCCACCACCGCTACCCTCTCCGCGATCCTAGACTGGGATGAAACCGTCTTCGCCCCCACCTTCATGAATTGCCGGTCCCCATACTGGCTGTGGAATTTCGAAGAGAGCGATGACGAACCGGAAGAGGCTGATGCCAACGACGTACCGGAAGACGTCGATCTTGCTGCCGTAAAGAAGACGTTTGAGGATGCCGCCGGAGAGGACTATTGCAAGTTGGCCTATACGCCTGAGTACAGGATTGCGAGGGATATCACCAGATTGGCTATCATGGGAATTTGGTCTAATATGGACTATGATGAGGCGAAGGAGATTTTGAAAGAGTGGAATGCGGCTTATCCTCAACTGGAGGTATGTGGAATTTTCGATGATGGGGAAGAAGATTAGGGTCGTAAGAAAGTGCGATTCCGTCACAATAGTGTAAGAAACGTCGTTAGAGGAATCTCTCCAGGGACATGCCACGTATATCAAACCCAAGTAATTATAGGCCATTTCAATATTTCCATTAATCACTGTCGCTTCTTGAGCACCAAAATGAGTGAGACAAATGCGGCATAGCAGACCCATACAATGGGCACTTTTAGAAGCCGTAAGTCTTGCTCCACCCTCTTCCAACTTTGTCATCTTCTTTCCTTCATCACTTGAAACCTCTAGTCACTCCACCTCCAGCAAACGCGCCGTCTTCACTTGCTCTTATCATCCTTTCCATCAACATCATCGTCCTCTTCGCCATCGCAACCCTCATCGTCCGTCAAGTCCGAAATAAGTACAATGTCCTGTTTGAGCTCTTCTGGGTCCTCTTGACACACGTTGTACGAAGGCCAGTCCTCACTCAGCATGAGTACGCTCCTGGTTTCGGATACTACCCCGCCGTTGAAGCGAAATTCTGCCCTCTTGCGCTTCATCGTGTATTGCCCTGCAAGGATTTTCGCAGCTATAACCAGAGTGTTGTTCGTGACAGCGCGCTCATCCGAGCCCATGTCACTCATCTTGGAGAAAGCGAGGAAGGTTCGGAAGTGAGGGTGATGTCGGTACCTTCCCTCTTCGCCAAAAGTCTTGATGAGTTGGTAGATGGAGTCGGGATGATCGCAGGAAAGCGGAATCAAGTCGAGCTTGTAGTCACCGCGAGGAAACGTCCACTTCAAGAACCGATCGATCAGCCACAGCAAGTCTCCGACGTTGGCGGGTAAGTAGTCTTTCCGGACTTTGGCGACATAGCGGGCGATCGAGCCTGGGTCCAAGTCCTTCGAAGGGAAAGGTAGTGCGCGTGTGGTCTCAGATTGAGCAAAGAACGACGCTGCAATATACCTACTATCCGGGTGGAAGCGAAAACCACCGAGCCACCCGGGTAGGAGGACATTCGAGAGCTTGCGTCCGGTGATTTGCTCCCAATGATAAAAGAACAGTTCGGACACGAAGTCCCGTCCCTGGGTGATGATGAGACTTGCGATTGGGAGTGTTTCCAGCTTGGTCTTCCCGGCGGCTGTCGGTGTACGTCTACCCATGCTTTCTCCAAGTCGAGTGCGTATATCGATCCCGCCAGGCGTGCTACATGCGAGGTTAGAAGATATCTGAATGTGTCAAAGAAAGACTTACTAGTAAAGATATCTCTTCTCCGCTGTGTAAGAGAAGCGATGGTCGGGTGGTAAGATGAAATTCGAGAGCGACCACGACTTTCCATTACCTTCCGAATCTTGTTCCGACCATTTGAGCGAGTGGCGCTTGGAGTCCAAACCAGTCCCAAGTTCCCAGGTGTATTCCTCAATCTCAACTTCGTATCCGACGCCGAGCTTAGCCATATCTGAGGGTTCTTTCGTTTGAGTGTGGTATGGATTTCGGAAGATGCGAAACGCTCGTCGGTGGTGTATAAGCAAAAGGCTCGAATCAGAGATTTCATACACAATTGTGCGTTTGATATGGACCCTGCCAAGCTTTTTGTGGTCTCATCTGTCTGGTGTTTGTTGGAGTGAGTGAAAGGTGAAAGAATGTTTACGATGAGGTCATCACGGCCGTCAAACTTGGAGAAAAGTCCATACGAGTGACTTCAATAGTATACGCAAAAGATGTTCAAGTGTCAGCTTAAGCTAAATACTATGTTGATCTTGTCAAAAAGCGGGTGTAATTGCCATTGCTGTGAACGTACCACCGCCTCTCTCCGTTTGCGAAATCAAACGTCCAGAATCAGCCACCCAGCAACGAAGCCAGGGCGACGTTGGATCCTTCTTCTCTGAAGCAAGCTGAAACTCGCTTTAAGACTCACCAAAAACACCAAGCAGCCTTGTTTTTGAGGATATAGGACACGCTCGCAGCGTTGCAACTCACCCTTCGACCCGGAATTTAGGTTTCCATAGTGAAAAGCTTGAGTCTTGAAAACAGCAAAATGCATCATCATCCGTCGTCGCACTATATTATACAGATCATTAAATCGAGCCGCAAATCCTTTGGCAGATCAAAAGCTACTCCATCGTCGATCCTGAAACAACGAGGGGTTGTCACATGCATGTACACATGCTACCACCCAAATTCACTATCTAGCATCTCTAGACAAGCCACATCCACTATTGATCACAACCTACGCGCATCTCCGCAATCCATCACACTCGCTGATCAAACATCTGACCAAAAGCCATCGTATCTGATGCATATCAAGGTTGCAAGCGGCTCGATGCAAGTCCGCCGCTAGCTTAGCCTTAACACTAAAGTTGGGGTAGATCTGGGGAAAGCGCGCGTGGCGTCACGGAGTGTCTCCGGCTGGATGTCGATGGCAGATACAGTTGTGAGACGGCCCGCACGCTGGTTGGTCCGCTTAAAGACATGCTGGGAAAATGGCGCACAAGTGGCGAGGCCTATCTGAGAGCTGGACTATGAGCTATATTCGTTCCGGTGGAATGAGTCCGATAGACACGAAGATGGGGGTTGAAAACAGGTGGAATGAGAGGGGAAGCACAGCATGTGGTAATGTGGTAATGTAGATGAAGTGATAGTATCATAATTCATAGATGATGGATATATACAATGCTGCGCTATCAAGCGAAAATCAAACAGCTAGTCGGGTATTTACAAGTGTGGTAGGGAATCTCTCATAACTCTTCGTAAGCTCCGTGGAGTAGATGCTTAGACAACAGTCTTCTCAGGGTACTCAGTGTAGGTAGCGCTCCTCTTGCGGGAAGCATCAGCCTCGATATCGGTAAGGCTGGCACGGCGGTTGTCGGCATGCATGTCCTGTACGTCCTGGAAGGAGATGGAAGGAACGAAGCCGGGAGACTTCCAGGCCTGGGAGCACTTGCCGTAGAGCTCGTCGACCTGCTCGAGGGAAAGACCCTTGGTCTCGTAGATCATGGCCCAGACGAAGAAGATGCAGATGAAGCAGCATCCGCCCCAGACGAAGAAGACCTTGGCACCCATGTTGGCGTTTCCGGGTCCGTCGTTGACCATGTAGGGGGTGGCGTATCCGATGGCAAAGTTGAGGAGCCAGTTGGATGCAGTTGTCATGGAGAGCGACTTGGCGCGGACCTTGAGAGGGAAGATCTCACCAGTCACAACCCATGCGACAGGGCCCCATGAGCAGGCGAAGAAGAAGATGTAGATGCAGACGAATGCGATCAAGGCCTGTTGGGCAGCCTGGTTGTCGATACCAGCAACGGTACCAGTGATGGCAACAATGAATTGGCTGCAGAAAGTCAGTATATGTCTCATTTGTACTTCGTACAGTCAGAACTTACCAGACAGCCATACCGACGGCGCCGAAGAGGAGAAGGTTGCGGCGACCCCACTTCTCGACAAGGTAGAGACCGGGGAAGGTGGAGGCAACGTTGACGCAGGAAGTAATCATGGTGACGACGAAGGGGTTGCTGATGCCCGAGTTCTGGAAGAAGGATGTTCCGTAGTAGAAGATGAAGTTGACACCAGTGAGTTGCTGGAGAGACTGGAGGGCGCAACCAGTGAAAAGGCGCTTGCCCAAGTTACCACGGAAGCAGTCGAGGTAGGTGGCCTTGCCAAGAGACATCTCATACTCGTGGTTGGCAGTGATCTCAGCCAACTCCTCAACAAGAGCCGGGTCGTCAACGTTGAGGCGGCGAAGGGTAGAGAGAGACTTGGCAGCCTTTTCTGGGCGGCCCTTCTTGATGAACCAGCGAGGAGTCTCAGGAAGCCAGATGCAGCCGGTGAAGAGGATGATAGCCCAGGCGAATTGAACAGCGATAGGGATACGGTAGGAGCCAGTGTCGGTCCTGTCCTTTGTGGAATTGTTGACGATAGCAGCGAGGAGAAGACCGATGGTGATAGCAAGCTGGTAGCAACCGACAATGGTACCACGAATCCACTTGGGAGCAGTCTCGGATTGATAGAGCGGGATGGTGGCACTGATCATACCAACACCGTAGCCAGCGAAGAAACGTCCGGCAACGAACATGGGGATGGCAGTGGCGACGGTCTGGAGAATGACACCGACGCAGAAGACGATGTTGCTGACAACAAGTCCGAGGCGGCGACCGAGGAAATCAGCAGTGGGTGCTGCGGTGAGAGCACCGAAGAAGGTACCGGCAGAGAGGATAGAGACGATCAAGGAGGTCTGCTCGGCGGTGACATCGAGCATGTTGTCCTTCTTGTTGACGTAGCCAGTGCTGAAAAGCTGTCGCCAGTGGTGCATTCCAAGAATGCCACCAATGGTACCAGTATCATAACTATACTTGTTAGTAGAACTCTTGAAGAGGGATCGAGTTTGCATACCCGAACAAAACACCACCAAAGGCAACGAACAGGCCGACCAAGATGGCGGGCGCGGTCGAGCCAGCTACGCCCTCAGGCTTCTTCAGCATCAGACCCATGATTGGCGACTGTCTGTGAAAGTAAAATGGGTGTGGAAGGAAGACTCAAGTCCAGAGAGATGGTTGAGTACTCGGATGAGGATGACTATCACTCCAAGGCGGGCTGCCCATCTTTAAGTACATTTGGGGAACTGTTCACCGAGCCTGGGGATCTCCATGGGCAGCTGTCTAGTCTGGAGACTGGAAGCATGGGGTCAGCGCGCTAGTCCCGCGGCTGGCCAGCAGGCTAGCGACAGTAGGTCCGAAGCGACTGGGGTAGCTTAGTGGGTGGTCTTAGCCATGATGGTGTTGGAGCTAGAGCAGACCAGACGCTGACCACTAGCACGTCGCTGGCCTGTGGATGCCATAGCGTTCAAATCATCGTGAGCCAATTCTAGTAGATTTGGAAATCATGGAGCCGAGATTCAGTTAGCGCAACGTTATCCAGCGGTCCCACGTTCGTGTTGCTGGAAAACGATGGCAAATATCGTCGGGTTACGTGACACGCATGGTCAGTCTGCTGGCACACGCACCCAACAGTGAGATGACAGTCGCGTGCCGGGGCGAAGACGGGGCGTAGGAGCAGCTAGCTGATAGGACACTAGATGGTAAGCGTCGCCTTTAGCCGTCATGACCTGTCAAGTCGGGTGCGTGTAAGCCATGAACCACTGACCTCATTTTGCGGGGATGCATCTTGGTATGCAGGCAGACACCGTTCATCGCCTCTGCTCGATAGACGTGGTTGCGGAGCAAACCATCAACTGATGTTCGCCTGCTGTTGATCGCCAGACGGGCACAGCACATTACTCAACGAATCCGTGATGTTTCGCTGGTCAATACGATCACCAATTGGCAACGCGTATGCAGACAAGCCTTTCCATGCGCGATTGCTTAGACAGACGGCATCCAGCTGTTTGCAGTATGGTCGTGGAAGGATTCTGGAATATCGCGACTCCGGTGCTCGGTGTTGCTAACATTGGCCGAAGAGCTGGTACCAGCGGGTAGTCTGTGGGAAGTCAAGCGCATATCGAAGAGGTGGGGAGATGAGTAGCGTGCAGGATTTTGCTTCTGGCCGCGCCAAAGTCGCAGAAAGACCCCAGGGTAAACGGGGTGCATTAGTTCCCATGCCCTCCGTGAGGCTCAACAAGCATGCTAGAGCACGATGGCGTGGTCTCGGCCAACCAGATGGGGCGGCTACTGTAGCCTCGAACCATGCACCCAGCGCTTGGTCGAACTGTCGGGAGGATTTTCTTGGCCTAGCCGATGTAGGGCTGGCAGTCCGGTAGTGTGTAGCTGCGCAATGCATCTGGAGGCGAAAATCTCGTATGCATGGAGTCTGGCAGCAACTCCGCTCAATAATTGGGGTCCACTCGAGACGTGTTCTTGGAACAGAACACGGCTGGTCATGTGGTCTGGATACCGAGATCCACCAAGGCGGCTCCGATATGGCGTGTCTAGAGAGAATCGCGGCACGGAGAGTTGGTAAGGTCGGAGTCGCCTCCACTATGCATGGGGCGCGTCACACCAGCGTGACTCCCCGTGGAGTACGAGTTTCATGGGGATCACGAGACTCGATATCCAGCTGTCTCGTGACATTTGTGCCAGGATGATGGTGATTTTGCAGAGCTGACGGGTTTGTGCCAAATTCGCAGGTCAGGTCAAGCTCGTAGGATGCCCGTTCAAGCTCGTGAGCCAAGACGGCTTGGCCGAGGCACGCTGGCGCCAGGCCGGATAGTCGCTTCCTCCGATCCGAGAAGTCGGAGGCACTGACCCGTAGTGTTCTCGGTATGAGCATGTCATGACACACTCTCATGAAGTACTCCTTGATGTATGGCTGGACTGCAATGTCTCAATCGAGAGCGATTTTATCGTAAGGATCTCAGGCGCCTCCTCATAACCCTGGAGACATGACGACAGCATCTGCAGGCTGCGCAGTGCGCACATCAATGCGGGGGATCGACGCAAGCCACAATGTTCCCGCCACTGTCTGCGAGGTCACGAGAGACACGACATCAGCTGAAAAACATGCGCACGCAGCACCAGGTCTACCACGGAACACAGTACGCGCTTGACATGTGAATGACGAGCCCTGCCCCGGATCTAAGAATGGATACATTCAATGCGCATATACCCTCGCAAGCGACTGCGACCTTTCCTCGCCATTAGCAGAAAGCAATGATGGCCAGGCAAGCGACGTCCCTCGACCTGGCACCAATCGCATCTGCTCTTGGAGCTCTCCACTACCATTGTATCATTTCAAGCTCAATGTGGTACTCTGCAATAGAGGAAGATCTCATCGACTTTTGAGACGAGTTCGGTGCTTACAGGAGGGTTACAAGTAGTCTGAGGACCCAACACTTGATTCAAGCTCTAATCCAGGAGATGTCATGGTTTCTCGTTCTGGCAAACATCAAGTTGATGCAGAACCTTGAGTAAGTCATAGAAAGAGAAAGGTGCTCACGGTCAACAGAAGCAAGTCGCACCTCCCTCGCCAACCAGCCAATGACAACACACCGCAACGCGTCGTCTCTTCCCCACCAAACGCGTCTTTCGTCCACCCTCACCGCCCCTCCAAACAACTCAACTTCCATTGTCGCAAAAATTATGTCAGACACGCCAATTCCCATCCACGAACCGCCGTCTCTGCCATCATCACCCCTCCCAAAGCGAACCAAAGTCATTGACCCCACTCCTCTCTCGCACGCCTCCACTCTACCGCGAGGAACAGACTCGGGCGCCGCGACACCAACACCCTTGGCAGCTTCACACCTTCCCAGCCACGACAACATGGCAGCACTACAACCTTCAGCGCCAGTCGGTGCCTCGTCATTAGCTAGTGCAGCGGCGGCGGAGCAACAATTGCAAGTACAATTGCTGAGCCCAAATGCCAAGGCGCCGACAAAGGGAAGCGCTTTCGCCGCTGGACACGATCTGTACAGTGCAGTGGAGACTGTGATTCCAGCGCGGGGGCGAGCATTGGTAGCGACGGATATCAAGATCTCAGTACCGGATGGGACGTGTACGTATTCTGTCCTATACTCCAGCCTTTGAGGGGGTTACCGTAGACATCATACTAACCATGGTTCAATAGATGGCAGAGTAGCACCCCGCTCCGGTCTCGCCTACAAACACGGCATCGACACCCTCGCCGGCGTAATCGACGCAGACTACCGCGGCCCCGTCGGCGTTATCCTCGCCAACCTATCCGAGAACGATTTCCCCGTCAAGATCGGTGACCGCATCGCCCAACTCATCGTCGAGCGCGTCGTTATGCCCAGTGTGGTCGTCGTCGACCAATTGGAAGATACCGTACGTGGAGCTGGCGGCTTCGGCAGCACAGGAGGCTTTGGCGCAGCGGCGGCCGTTGCAACCCAGGCGGCGGAGACCGCGACAGAAGCTGCCGAGGTGGCAGAAGTAGCCGAGGACAGTGTGAAGGCTTAGGTGGCTGCACGCCAACTTAGGAAAAAAATGAACACTCTAGAGCCTACGTTGACGTTAGCTCGCCTACTTTGCAAGTTCTTGTTTTAATGTAGTCTGCAGACCTGTTTAGTTTTTTTCTTGTATGAGGTGGTCTGGGTTGAAACACATCTTCAGCCGTTGATCGTAGCCACGAACTGACGATAATTCGGCATTCATAGAATTCAACGCGTAACGTCTACACAACCAGATATCATGAATCACCCGCCTCCGTCTTCTCTTCCTCTCCAACAACCCTGCCCTGCGTCCCTGACTGAAGCACCTGCATCGCCCCACCATCCTTCGTGCCAACACCCAAATGCAGCACGTTCAACTCATCCGGCTTCCTCTCCCCAACATCCGCAGGTACACTCTGCCCTTCATACACCGCCCGTGGCCTGAACCGCTCCAGATCCGGCGGATCAATCATCTCCTTGACATACCGCGGAACCGTTACCTCACTCGCATTCATAAGCGCCAAATGCCTTTTCTTGGCAACCTCCTCATCCGCCTCATCACCCTCACCCCGCCCTTCCTTCGCAGCACGCGCATCATACGCAGCCATCTTCTCCTGACACGCCGTCGTCGTGCGTGTGAGTATCGCTTGCATGGACGCAAGCACCTTCTGACACGCTTTCGCCAACGGCAAGTTCTCAGCTAGAACGTCGTCTGGTGAGCGCCAGCTCGGTTTCGCATGCAGATCAAAGTCGGGTGTCGATGCATCGTGTACGGCTTCTATCAACCGCGGGATCGTGAGCGCGGCGAACATATCTCCTGTTCCTGAGAAGAAGAGCGGGAGTTGCGGGGTGTCGATGCGGAAGAGACGCGGTTTGTAGTCCGAGGTTGCGGTTGAGCCGATGATGGTGAGGTTTTCGATGTCGGAGAGGTCGATTTGGGGGGCGCGGAGTTGGGGGGCTGGGTGTGAGGGTGATGCGTCGAGGTGATGGGGGTCTGAGGGAGTGTGGGTGCCGGTGCCGGCTTTGGACACTGGTCTCGAGGGTATGGTCTGGTTGTCGCGTGTCAAGCGGAGGGAGGTTATGATTACGTGCGGGACTTGGTAGGTCTTGTGGAGGACTTGGATGGCGGCGGCGAGGGACTTGAGGTCGGTGATGGGGGTATCAGATAGTAGTCTGTGTCTCTGTCAGTAACTGCTGTATGTGCTGGACCGGTCTTCAGATATACGCACTCGGCCTCGAACTGGTTCGGGAGTATGAGATCTGCCTCGCGCAACAGTCCCTTGTACTCTGGTACTTCATCCTCCGGAATGTACAACTTGCCATTGTCGCCCATGACTGGATCGAGTACTGCCTTGGTCAGTCCTGCATCGTGCGACCTCGCACATGAACCTACCCCAGAAGAAGCTGCCCGGCTTCGTGCCAGCATTGAACTTGATATCTCTGCCAATCGTCCCTATCGTTTGTACGGCCTCGGCGCTGGGCATGTATCCGGTCAAGAGTACGTCGAAGTTGGTAAGGTTCGCTTGCTGTAGACCTTCGTACAGTTCGAGAATTTCGCTCGCGGATGTCTTTGTGCCTTTGACTTGCTTGTATGCGGTGTGGTTGCCTGAGATATTAGCTATGCGCCAGTCGACGGAAATGGGCTACCTGCTGTAGTGCACGGTGTTGATCGCAGAGACGTCGCAACCTAGCGATTGCATGACAAAAGTGGCCATTTTGTTCCCAACATAGCTCAGCTCAATGTCAGTGTACTGCATCTACCGCGACGACACGCGACTCACCCATGGACCACCTATAGCATGTTAGCAAGAAACAATGTCCCGCGCGTGAGTCTTACATGACTGGCAATCGCAAGCACGCGCGTGTCCGGTATCAGCGTGTCAGAGGCCATATTGTATGATAGTAAGAAACAGTCAGGTAAGTGGGGTGAAATAGAGCGTGCAGGCGGGGTACGTTGTTGATTTACTGTTGATCTCCTTATCTGAAATTCCGCGACATGACGTGAACCGGTTGGTGGGGCAGTAGCTTTCCTTTTGTGCCTAGGGCGCGGAACACACCACGCGGCACCGCGTTTTCGCCAATGTCGCACGCCAGAACCTTGAACTAACAGACGCTCGATGCATATCAAAGCCATTGCGCCGCAAATCCCCCACATCTATCCTGGAAACATGCCGCTCGTGCGTGAATGAAGTCATGATGCGTTTAGTCCTCGTCGCCAATCTGTTCATGTTAGCAATGTGTTGGTGTCTTATGGGATAGATACATACCTTGGGTGCGAGGTAGAACCTCAGGTAGCTAGACTCAAAGGGGTATTCGACAAGAAGGGGAACCTCGCTAGATAGACAGAGCTTGACTTGAGTTGACAGCCCGCTCGCCTTACAGAAGTTGATCAGGTACTTGAGAGAGAAAGTGAGTGAGACAGGTTCATTCATCTCAACCGAAACGTTCTCCTCTGGCTTATCGACGCTGGTGGATGTCTTGAGGATGACGGAGCCCGAACCAATGTCGCCAGAGCACGCGAATTTGATTCCATCCTTGGTGCACTCAATCGAAACTGTAGCAAAGTTAGTTTGTTGTATAGTGTGCTGTCGCGCTGTCGCGTCTGGTTCGGGACGTACCTGACTCGGACAATGCGCCTAGGTCCCTGCAGATGCGCTGGAACTCAGCCGATGGCATCGAGACTGTTGCCGCGTAGTCCGTCTCAGGAATACCGAGATGTTCCTGGTCGATATCCATGAGCTTAATGTCATACTCGCTCAGCCTCGATGTGGTGCTGGATTCGAAGAGCAGGTTGACGACATCAGGCGAGTCCTCAGCCTTGATGGTAAGGGCGTCATCGTTTCCAGCGGCACGAAGAACCTTTGTAAGAGAACCGAGGTTGATTCCGAGCGCGATGTTGCGGTCGCAGCGGAAGGGATCGAAGGCTTCGGATTTGAGCATCATGGAAACAAGTGCGACGTGCGAGTTGTCCATGGCCTGGAGCGCGATGCCCGAGTCATTGCAGTCGAAGTTGCAGTCCTGTACGAGGTCCTTGATGGCGTCGACGACCTGTTGCTGTCAGAAGAGCTTTTGCTACGCTTCCTACGCGAACGTACCTTCTTGAGGATTTGGGCCTGGGGTAGTTTTGCCTCGAGCACTGCAGATGGTTAACTATGTCAGCCACATGTCAACGAAGATACATACTGTTGACTGTGGATTGAGATTAAGAGGGTACGATAACGCTGACGGGGGTATACAAAGCGTGGTGGTGCAGGAGACAATTGCGGTGGAGGCAACAATCAATGGAGGGGAACGCGAAAGTGGTTGGCGAACGCGTCGGCCACGCGCTAACTCAGCACAGGGCATAAAGTACCGCCAAGACCATACCCTTCGTGCTTGACTTGTTCCGGATTGCTGTAGTACTAATTGCTCCTGACAATGAATATGTTCATTGTCATTTGAGTGTCTGACATGATACTACGTTTCTACTAGAGGGCTCGCAACATTCCAGAACATGCGTTGTCATGTCAATTTGATTCAGATATCAAACATCGCGTCAATGTATTCAGGTGGGTATCATGATGAGGTGATGCATCAACAACCCATCCGCATCACGAAAGCACTCTTCGTACCTTCGACTACTGCTCGCTCACTCTACCAGCTGCACGGACCGCATAGCCTCTGAGCTGCCGCCGAATGCTTCTTTCCATGGCCATGTGCTTGTATCTCGTGCACCCGTCACTTGCGGCCATGTCCACCGCACAACCGTTGAAGCCCAGCACTTCTCTAAGCCATCGATACCATACCATCCGTGGTATACATGCGCACTCAACCCAATAGTCCATTTATATCGCAACATTGCCTTCTCATGCTCTGACCAAGCCATAGAACAGCGTCCAAGTAAGAACGAATCCACTCAACCCTCCAAACACATCGCCCAGCCACAAGTCACCCAGCGGCCGGTAAAAGTATGCGCCGGGCTTGCCATTTGTCTTGAGCGCAAATAGCAGCGCCGATACCACGAGCGATCCGAGGAGGTAGAATATGAAGCCTGTGTAGGACTCGAGGCCTAATGTGCCTGCGGCGACGCCGAAGAGTGATGCGGTGAGACTGCGGATGTTGGAGATGACCTGTATTGAGTCTGTGTTAGTCCAAGAAGATTAAAGCGAGAGAGAGACAAGATTGATGTCGCGCAATATGGCTCAAAGAGCTTGGTGGAAGGCGTACCTGGGTGTTGTGCTGTACGCTGCTTGCGACAATTGGGTGGATGGCGAGTTCTCGCTCTTCGTTCAGTGCCGATGCCGCCATTGTGTATGTCTTGTGATCTCGGACAATTGAAGCGTCAGATCCCGACTGGTTGTTGCGGAGATAGGTGTTCGGTCAAGACACGGGCGATGAGTTCGGCCGTGTGGTTGCTGCTTCGTCCGGAGCGCCTCTGTGCAGGATCGATTGTGACGTCGTAGATATATGCAGGCGGTGGAAAGGCCCGCGATGTATGTGGAATGCGCGAAGTGTCGTGTGAATGCGCGATGATGCTGTGCTGGCTGCTTGGGGTAGTCGCAGTGCTGGCTGGACCTTCCGACGGTAGTGGAGTTGAGTGGAGGGTGGCCCGTGCCTGGACCCTGCCATCATCCATGGATGCGCCCGCGCACACGAACGACTTACGAACACCTGTCACATCACCCTTTAATTTGTCTGACAGCAAGATTTCCACAATCTAGGTTTCGCTCTAGTTATTCAATGAGATTACTGTTCTCTACATACACTCATATATCGTCATACAGGGGACCATATCCCTCGAGATACCTTGATCTGTCAGCCCGATGCGTCGCTTCATCGTACAGGACGAGCACTCACCGTTCCAAATGTGGGGCCAGGAAGTAGTTTGGCATTTCTCTCGCGGCTCGTAGATATGCAATCGCATGCTGAAAATATCGACCGTTGGCTCTTACTGATGTGACATTTCCCAGACTCATGAAGGATTCGGCAGCCTGGTTAAAGTTAACGAGAGAACATATCAACTGTGGCTTTACTTATTGTAGACAGCAGGTAACCTGTAACCACTCCCTGTTCCGTCGCTACGTATACTGCACGCTGGAGATATTCGGTAGCTGGTAAAAGCAATCCTCTGGCTTCGACATAATCTGGCTCATGCAGTCGTTCTTCAGCCTTAACCGAAGCCCTCGTTGCCGATCCCGTGTTGCTTGTTTCGCTGCTCAAAGATGCCCTCTCCGCCCGAGAGATGCTTGACAAAGCCCTCTGCGCTCGCAGTAACCAGTTGCGGCCAATTACTGCAGCAGTCAGCGTTGCTCGACATCATCTGGATAAAACTCACGAGCCTGGATGTCGACGTCTTCTGGGTATATTTGTAGAAGAACTAGTAGCTGACGCAGGCACCAGTCTGCTAAGTCTTTGACAGCACCATGATCAGCATCGACAAAAGCCACACGCTGAAAGACGCTGATGAGAGGTACCTGCCAATGCCGGCGTGCTTCGTCGGGAGTCGTATCGTTTATCTCGAAGGAGGCAGTAATGTTTTGAATGGCTGGCAATTGGTCTTGCCACGAATCAGGTGATGTATCGAGATTGGTGTTGATCAGGTCGACAGTAGTCAGTAAACGTTCGATCATACTGTTGTCCATGCTGATGAGAAAACGATGAATGCTAGTTGGGAAAAGCAATAATTGCTACACATGGTCGTGACAAAGACAATACATAAAGTATAAAGTCAAGATAGATTGCTACCAGAGGCAGCCTGCTTGACAATCTGTGGCGTTCTGTTACCCTGTCACATTATGACTGTCCAGAGGCGCAGCCTTGTCCTTGACGTCCGGATAGACTGGAAGACGAATGGGAGTTGCCGAACGTTGTTCGTCATTGAATTGTGTAGGTGTAGTGTAAGCTGACTGATTAGTCTGCAACTCAGTCACCGACCCGGACAAGTCTGCGCATCAAGCACCGAAGGAGGACTATTTCGCGACATTTCCATGCTCATGACCATAAGAGTTATATCCGGCCAAGGAGGCAGTGGCGGCGAGCGGTCAGAGGTGACATCTAGGCGAGTTCGAGATGTTATCGATACATGGTGCTCAGTACGTTACCTGCGGTTTCGTTCCGTCTGTAACGCCGAAGTTATCCACGGGAGGATATTCACCAGGCGGCCGTTCCATGCTTTGTAAGCTTGAGGCTCACCTTTCCATTAGCTTCCGCGGTCAGCACGGAGAATTTTGATGCGACCTGGAGGTTGCTTTTGCGGGATCTGCAAGCCACATGCTTTTGTAGATGCGATGCTGCAGGTACGTCATCGATAGCGTTATCGATTATCCATGGATAGAAACGGCTGTTTCTTTGGTTGTACCATACATTGCAGACTGCTCAGGTACCCGGGCAACGCTGTACCGATAAAGCATAATGCGGGTAAAGTTCACATTTGGTGCCCAATTTAGGCGGTTCCGCTTCTTCGAACATGGCAACGTTATTGTCGAAATGGAAGGCCGAGTGCATCGCAGCAACTGCGCAATTGGTGTACCGCCGGTGCCAATACAATGCGGCGGAGATGGGAATGGACAGATTAGTCCGGAGCATCAGTGCGAGGGCTAGGATGGCATGTCGGAGGACGTGCGGCTGACTCGCAGCCTCGATATCGGAGAGCGAGTGAGCGGCCCTTGGAAGTGATAGATAGTTAAGAGTGCCGTTAGATGAGGTGTTGTTGGTGTGTAGCCAGATGTTAGCAGGGAAACGACGATGCACACTGTGGCATGCACGCACATGCCATGGTCGTCATGCACACGTCGGCCTCGAGGACAGAGCAGGCGCGCGTATGCAAGGAACCAGGGGCACGTTTGTCGAGGGGTGCGTAAACGAGCGAACGTTCCCCATGATTGTTTCACACCAATCACGAGTTCATTTCCGGACCCTGACCTATACCACTATTACTACCAGAACCACTCACACTCACCTACACCGCGCATGTGTCTCCCACGCTCCTTTCCTGCCACCAGCCGCCTCGTTCCCCGTTGACAGCGCCCACGATTGGATCCCACGCACAACACGCGCCGGCCCCTGCAGCAGCCATCCCCGCCATTTCCATATCACGGGCACCTTCCCTCCCTAGCCTAGAGCACCCGCAGTCATCACAAGCGTTGGAGTGGGACCCTACAACAACACTCGAAATCGCACCATGCGGCGGTAGCGACATGGAGAACATCATATCCGACGGCTCGCCTCTTGCGCAGTTACTAGAAGGTGCGACCCGCCGCACCACGACGATGACGATATTGCGGATGCTAACCGCTGTGGCTTAGGTCAAGGTACTGGGTCACCCGACAACTCCCCAGCGCAATCCCCATCGCAATCCGCCTTCCCGCAGAGCTTCGCGCCCCGAGGCCCTTCGACGCTGCAATCGCGGATACGAGACAGGCTGCCCCAGCCGCTGCGCATCCACGCCCGCCATGGCTCCATCGCTCGCATACACACGGCGTGTTCGGTACGACTGCGATATTCCCCCGGCAGCATATGGATGCTTATTAACGTGACTTAGAAAGCCGTCAACTCTCGCATTGGGCGCGCCGACAATGAGCGCTTTTTGGAGCAGTTCCGTTACCTCATCGTCGCTTCCCAGCTGCTCGGCGAGCAGGGAGGCCTTCGCGCATCCGCCATTCCCAGCTTCGCGGCCAACGGACGCCCTGGCCCTCACGAATTCAAGGTCGCAGCGATAAACCCCGTCGGCGCCGCTTTCATTGGCACGGCGACCTTCATACTGGCATGGCTGGTTCACTGGTCGCGACGCCAACCTGCATTCAGCAAGAGTAGGACCCTGCTGGTCATTCTCGTCTTCGCTGCCATTGCTACCGCCGGCTACACGTACCTGCGACGGCAATGGCTGCAGTATCTGAGGCAGGAGGCAGTCAAGGGCGCATCCGACCTGGTCGCGAACCTGCAGGCGTTCGAAGCCTCGACATCGTCTGCCCTTGCATTGATCCAGGAGGTCGAACTCGTCTCTCGTGGCTATCGATTGTACGTTCCCATCTAACCACGGCCCATGGTATCCACACTAACGTCGCGCAGGAGCAGTCCTCTGCCTCCCATCTCGCGCATGGAAGAGAGGGGACAGACCCGCCGTTGCCAGCGACTGCGTCGGAACCTCCGCGCTGCATACGCCGACATCGTCCCCATCCTCGCCGAACAGTGTCACAATCTGAAGCAATTGATACAAGAGGATGATCTGGAAAAGTACCTCGATGTGTACGAAATCAGCAACCCGGACATGCAAGAGGCCGCCTTGAGTTACAGCGAATCCGAATTTGATGACGCCGAAACGCTGAAAGCGCTGCGCATCCTGCAGTATCGATTGTCCATTCTCCGACGCGTATACCTGTGCTCCCTTCTTGCCATGGAGGCAGACGGCGGCAAGCCTGACTTTGCGCGGTGGTCCACAGTCGTAGATTCGATGCTCAATACGGCTCGTCCTGTGGGAGAATGGAGTGAGAAGTTCAACCGCGTGCTCGCCGAGGAAGAGCAGTTCGTACTCCCATCGCCGGCCAAGGTTGCACCCACCCCTGGCCGAGAAAAGATACGAAATTCCGTGCGCAAACTGTCGGGCCTGTCGAGTGGCATCCGAGGATTGCAGGCCAAGATGCAGGTGCTTCGCGAAGAGACCAGCAAAAGCTTAGAGGACACGGAAGACGTAACCGATCTGGGCCACTCTCTCCTAGTGCAATACGACTCCATTGGCGCGGATCTCAAGAGTTTGGTCCAAGCTTGGGAAGCTGGCAAGAACGCGCTGGCTCTGAACATCGATCGCCACGAACGCAGAATATCGCAGGCATCGAGTGGGCTGCGCTCGCCAGTTCCAAGCCTAGGCGGCCTGACTGCTGTAGATGAAGGCAGTCCGTCTGATGCTCTACGCGCCCTCAATGGTGACTTGCTGAGCCCCCATCAGAGTGCTCCGTCGAGCGATCAAGGCAGCAATTCCGACGACGAAGTGTTCGAAGCTATTGCTATACCCAAGACACGAGCCACTATGTCGAGAGAAGAGCGGATGCAGAAGATCCAAGAAGACCGCGTTCGGCAAGCTTCGCTACGTGAGCAGCGAGATGCGAGTACCAACATGCTGAGAGAATTAGAGTCTGTCATCAATCTCAGACCACATCGAGTCTCGGCGCCCCCTGCTGGCGCTCGAATTACGAGCCTTTGAGGCATCTTTTCCTTTTGTTTATACGGTTGGACTAACGACGGTCGCTAGATGCCGCGTTTCTTTCGCTTGCTCTACTTCTTGGCGCGCATCGGGTCTCAATTTGATTTTGGGCATTTACGCTATACCATTGCCGCGGTCGCATTTACTTTCCTACACATGTCTTGGAGTCGAAGGCTTAATGTCTATAACGCATACCTTGTGGTCAGAACATCCACACAGAATAGTAATGACAAATATCAATACCACCACAGCGAACCACAGCCGGGGTGCTCTCAAACGATCTGTCGTTCGTTCGGCACTTGGCTTCCGGGCCATGGAGCGTCGACGTGGCTGACGGGTGTTGGCCGCGGAGAATTGACCATCCCTGGACCTCACGGTAGCGAGATGCGGCTATTGGCAAGTTATATAGTATACGCCTTTTGGGACAGCTTGCATATGCGAGGGCTTGCGAAACCACCTCATGCACTCAATACGTATTGTATTGACGTCAGGTACGTGGTACTGTATGACGATGCGAGACGCTGTCACTTGCTCTTGCGCAAACGGCATCCATCTAGGTCCAATCTTACTCCACCAACATGGGAGGCAAGACAGATGACCTCAGCAGCGAAAGGCGTGATTCATCCGTGCGCAGAGTCGAATGGACAACGTATGACTACTGGATCGAATGAACATGAGATGCTTTGGATGGCAGTTGCAAAAACGCCCGTGACGTTCCGCTTCCAGGGTGATGAGGAGCAGCTGAAACTGGGTTCACGATCGACTGCGACCCGTGGACTAACCGCTCTTGCCCAAGACGACCGGGTGATCCTTCCCGTTGGGCTGCCTGACGCCTCAGTGCCCCTGCCATGAACCTCAGACGCCGTTTCTACTTTCCCCGAGAACCATCGTCACTTCACCCATCGCTTCACGCCAGTCATGGTGAGCCCCAACTGAGTCTGCCATATTCTACCATTGTTCTATAACTCTTGCCGATGACGAACGCCCCGACATGAGCGCCTTCTTCCGGGTCTCCGGCGGAAAGCGCAGCTAACGACCCTGACCTTTACCGATTACGTAGACCGCCTGATTGCTCTTTCCGTCATCAACACCGACATATGCGCGCAGCAAACCCTCCAAGATATCGACGATATAACAGAAAGAGTCAAAATTGACAGATGAACACACAAAAGAGACGGATAATGAAAGAGCTACGACCAGCGAGCATACAAAATGCCTTCTTTGTGAATGGCTGTATCGGGCCGACTTAACCCTCCACACAGACGGCACCGCCAGGAACTCGTTCAGTCTTCATCCTCATCAACGACGCCATCGGTCCTCGGCACAGGTGGAGGCGCACCATGCCGTCTGCGCATATGCACTCTCAACCCATCCGAACGAGCGTACTGTCTTCCACATCCGTCGATGGGGCAAGGATAACGAACCTTCGCCCGACTGGACCCTGCGCAAGCCTGGGTTTTGAGGTGACGCGTTAGGTTTCCCAGCGCATGTACACCTGTCAGAACGGTTCCGCAGCGATACGGGCACGGTACGCTATACTCGGCGTCGATGTGGGATCCTTCAGGAACCTGTATCGGCGGTATCGGGTATATGGCAGTAGGAGGCGACGCCGGTACGCTCGATGCCGGAGCCACGTAAGGATATGTTGGACCCTGGCTTCACAGCAACATCAGCATAAGCGAACGAACTTTGAGGAGACCACATACTAGCTAGCACTCATGGAGTTCGTCAAAGGCGCTTGGGTCGTTCCCATGGCATGGTATCCTTGATGCGTATTGTATCCTATTGGTGGATAGGTACTTACGTAGCTATTACTCAGTCAGCGGGCGGACGATATTGGACTTTATCCAGACACATACCGGTGCCCACCAGGGAAGGGATTCGGTGGTGCGTACTCAAATTGCGCGATGGGACTACTCTGCGGAGCGCTTACTGCGTCAGTATGACCTTGATATGCACTACTCTCGACGGTATTGTGTCCTGGCGACAGAGGTTGTTGGTAACCACTGTTGGGATAGTGTATTCCATAAGGCTGAGGATACTCAGGCGATACCGGCACCCAGAGCTGAGGATATCCGCCGAATCCGGATGAAGGTGCGGTTACTCTCAAAGTCTGCTCAGCTCCAGTATCGCAAACTACTGTCGCTGGGAACGGGGCTCTTCTTCTATACGCATCGCTTCGCTGCGACCACGAGCCCTCGTCGCCACCCTGCGTCTGATCGTACGCCATGCGGCCAGAGCTACCCAACAACGTCCCGGATCAAAGTGGAGCAGGGTTGGGCCACGAAGAGATATGAAAAGGGATGATCTTTTCAAGAGAACGATCTTGACGACGCCCATGAGGTGACGCGAATTTCGTCCGAAGGCCTCCAAATTGTACTGAGTTCAGCGAAGCACCTCCGTGCGCTATGTCTCCGTCAGTTTTATCACGCTTCAACTAGAGACTACCCCACAAAAAACCAGTCTTACAAACCAGAGTCTTCCAGATGCAAAGAAACAGAATGAACGCAGGAGCGATTTCGTTAGTGACCTGGGGTCCGCACAGTGTTTATGCCGCTATCCGTATCCAACGGCGACCGATTCGATTGGGGAAGAAGACGCGCTGGAGCCGATGGAGGACCCTGAGCTGAGACACGACAGTCGGCAAAGTCGACGCCAGGGCATGTCGCGCCTCACCGCGTGTTCGAGTGTCGAACCGGAACGCGGATCAGCCCTGTCGACGTATCTGCGTCTCAACTTAAACGGCAAGGGATTGTGCGACATTCGTTAGTTTACAGTACACCAATCAGATACGCAACAGTAGCACCAGATGCGGCACAGCACATGACACTTGTTGGTCTTTATGCGATGGGCCTTGTCGCTCAATGTGTACTGCGGCTGCGGCTGCTGCAGCGGGACGCTTATCCTCAAAGACCACCCCAAGAAGCAGGCAGATATACCAGGAAAAGCATATACGCTTATTTTCTGCCGGGCTACCCTGAAGCCATGTGCGCGCATAGTCGTTTATCTCTGAACACTAGGCGTAGACCATCGGTTTCCCGCCACTAAGGCTCAAAGCGCATTGACAAGGCCAATGCTCATACGAGTCCAATCGACAAGCAAATCCAGCTGTATTCTAGCCCTTGTATGCTCGTCTTAGCACCTTCTTGACTGGATAGCCGTAATGGAATGTCAGACTAGTACAAGATCTGATGGTTATATCACGGATATAGGCAACAGGACCCAGGACGGGCGGATCGGACGAGTATAATATACGTTCTAGCCTCGGTCGCCCGTGCCTGCCATCTGCGCGTCTTACTTGCAGCGGCACTGTGACGAATACCAAGCCGCATGGCGTTTCGCCAACATCTAGCGTCTATCAAGGGCTCTCCCGATCAGGTACGCATATTGCAGTATCGAGGACGGTCTTTTCGAAAAAGAGAGTGGGTTGACGGGACGGCTCGTGACCGGCGCAGCACCGGCTATTAGTGGAACACGTTCTCGCACAATCGTGCCTGACCGATCAGCACGGCCGGCCCGAGACCTTTCCCATTCGCAGGGAGCAACTTCCCGCATGATGAAGCATGTTTGCATTCACTGTCTGTCGGCAAAGGCGTCACTTCGAGGCACAGCAGGCGAATACATTTCTGGACCCATATGCTTACATTCACTGTCCCACTGGGGTCGCTACTATGGTGCAAGGAACTACGAGGATCCAGAAAAGGAGGAACGAGAGGGGTGCCCTTCTGGGAAAGAGTCAACCCATTGAAACAGTCTCTTTCACTGCCGCCGCGAAAGGTATACCCGGCTACTTGGCTCCATAGTAGTGGGTGCGACCCGGGCCTGCGGAACAAAGAAACTCTTTACGCTCTCCCATACACCGACGTTTCGATTTGCCGTGCTACTAGGGCGATGACGAAGATGGCTGCATAGCCACACGACCCGCGGCAAACAAGGTTTGGGAAGCGGGAGTGTACATACACCTGAGGCTTAGGTCGAAGAATGTATGACGGCCCGAATCACATCTCGTCGCGCTTTTGATCATTACTGCGTGCAGCTATTCGACAAAATGGCACTAAGTGAACAGGGTTCTTACTAAATAGTGCGATATGTGCATGCACACTCTGCGCGCACTGATCGACACTGGTCGAAAGGATTACACACACGAGCAGTAGCAACATGGCTGCATTACTCTTGGCCTTTCTCCGATGGTTCTCACCTACCAAAAGAGCCCCCACATTCGAAGTCCATAACCTGCGGTAAATTATGTCGGGGTGCGCATGCAGAGGACTTCGCGCAAGAAAAAGCGGTGAAGCTATGCAATCGTGGACATGCAAGTTTGCCTTCTCTGCAAGCTGCACTATCTGGGAGCTTCGTCAAATGCAGCGACTGCGAATCTCGAATGCTTGAAGATGGCGCCTCAACCAGCCATGCTCACCGATCAAGTCATTGAAGCTGTCAATGCGTCGGAGGATTTGGCGGCCTTCTGGCCCGAGGCTGCGCCCTCGCCACATTGGGCAGTAAATGCATGGGAAGACGAATCATCCATGCACGCAACGTGATGCACTGCATGTAGAGTTCGAGAGGGATATCAGCAAACTTACGAAGCATGGTACTCTAAAGCTGCTCGTAGCACGCTGCGAGATGGATTTGGAACCTTGCACACGCTGTCCGACCATCAGCATACGTCATCGCAGTGTCGTCGAAGGCTGGCAAGGCTTCTCCGCAGCACCAGCACGAAACGATGTCAGGCTTCGCGGACGGCATGGTTATGTCTTATTCAAAAACCTATTGATATGCTACGAAACTTTTTGTATGTCCGCTATCGAGGTTATCGGCAAGTAGTTTCGCAAGCTATGATACACAGCCTAAGGGAAGACCTTCTTACACGACAGATGTAGCAGGTGGCGTCAAGTGCGCTGGTCGTACCATCAGTCGACAAGCAAGAAGCAACGTTACGCTAACTTTATTCTAACAACGTGGGATTACAGAGTGGTAGTACGAATGACCAACGATCCTGC